ATTTAATGATTTAGACTTTTAGCAATTATGAAACTCTGTCTCATCCTAGCACCTAACTTCAAAATACATTTTTCTCCTTACTCAGCCAGAGCACTTGCTTTGTTCTTTTCCACAGTTTTCCTTATGACTGGCACCCATCCCTGCACCCTGCTGCCATGTTGATCTTTCTGTGAGCTGTGTTCTTTGTCTTGATCCCAGTGAGGATCACATGGCAGCTGTTAATAAATGGCAAGTGAGACTCGTGAGAAAAAAGAATCCTAATTTTATGTGTAAAGTGATGGGTTCTGGATTAGCCATGACTACTGGTTAATCATGTTTGCTGTTCTGCTAGGTCTGTGAAAACAAGTGTGACCCAAATTAAACTGGTAGCTGGCTGGGTCCAAACAAGCAGGAGTTGTAAAGAATTTGTGACACTCTTTTGCTGCAGGATGTTGTGGTTGCTAAAAACTTACAGGACTGCAAAAAGCAATGTAATTCAGGGATGAAAAATCCATCAAAAGTTATTAATCAAAAAGGTACCACCTCTGGCTCCAAAACTTGGTGCAAATTGCTGCAGGATAGGAGTATGTACAGGGGTAGTATCACTGTAGAATTTCCCTGGTTTTATATTCTTCACCTGCCACCATTCACTGTCAGATGCCAACCACTGAGCTCAATGGGCTCTTGATCTGACATGCTAGAGGCACCAAAAGGTTGTTTATCCTTTCCTATTGGTCTCTCATTCTGTTCACATTGGTAGTGTTTTCCAAATTTGCTTTCTGCAAAGTCTACAGGACCAAGTCTCCATCCTTTTCAAAGCGGCTCAAGTGACTGCCCTTGCACAGATTTCACTTACAGCTATGGAGCAGTCAGTATTCACCTGGGAAGCCTGAGCAAGTTTCCCCATCATCTGTTTGTGGAGAAAAAACAGCCATATTATTCATTACTAAAATGGGAAAAAATGCTTTAAAAATCACACAATTCCCTAAAGAAGTACAGTGTAAGAGTTGAAGTCTGGCTGAATATATTTGTGATTACTTGGCACAAGATTTGTGCTTTCTGATCCCAAGGTGTGGGCAACCAGACTCAAGTGTTTTTAGGAACAAAAATGCTTAAACACTTGGGAATGTAGTCACCATAAAATTCATTCACAAACACAGAAAGAGTCACCAATGTCCCCCCTCTCTCTGTCATGGAAACAGGGAAAGTTGATTTCAAGTTGTATATCTGTATTAGACTTGTCTCTTAAAAATGGCATTTCTGCTAACTCTACTGAACATTTATACAGTGGTAGCAATTGTGAGAAAGCTGAGTACAGCAACTGTGTTTTAGCCAACTTTTCCCAGAGATAGAGCACAGTTAATGAAGACAACTTGCTTGTAAAGTATCCCTGGGCATGGAAGCTGTTGCTCCCATTTCTCTGGCCTTTACCAGAATGATCAAACTCATGGGCACCTAATTTTTTGCATTCAAATGATGTAGCTAATTTAGTGTATTTTCAGCCTTCAGTTACAGAAAAAATCAAGTGGTTTTGATGAAAGACCTTTAGTGAGGAGATGCTGTTTCACTTAGCTTACTTAAAAGAATCACTGTCAGCCCCAGCTAAATGCCTTTCTTTGCTCACCTCTCATGCGCAAAAATCCGGATCTTGAGAGCTAGAGATCCAAGGTGTGCTATTTCTGCTGAACTGGGAATTATACAAATGGCAAAGTATGTCACACTATTTTGTTTCACTTTCTTCTTGTACTAACTCTATTTTTTTTTCTGTTCCTGATGTATCTTCTAGGAATATTTGCTCTGTGAAGGTAACTCTGATCTAGCTTGTAAAGCAGATGATTCACAAACATGCTATATATGGGCCATTTTAAGTGCAGGAGAGGAAAAAATGTATTGAGACTACAGAAAATATTTAGGCAATATATAGAAAAATGGCTAAATGTTACCAGTTATATCAAAGTGGACAGCTTGAGGGTTGCAGAATTTTGCAAGAGTTTGTGTTTAGGCCGCCTTAATTATCTTAAACTGGCACTTCTTAACTGCTAAGCACCCATTCAAAAATTATGCCCTTGTATTTCTTCTAGTGAGACTCTATGTAGTACCCAGAATTTTCACAGTGCTGTTGTGCAGAGTAAGTTTCCTTTAGCATGAATTTGGAACTATTACATTATTCATGAATAGCAAAGCCATGAAAAAATTATACTGGGGGCTAATTAGGATCTCTGTTTGTGTGTTAGTCAACTCTGCATCAGAGGAGAGAAAACCTAAGATAAATTGAACCGATTGACAGTCCAAGCTTCAACATATGCTCAAATCAAACACGTGCTAGCCAGCTGTGATGGACCATTCAGAATAGGGAGTGCTCCTTTCATTTTTAAGAGCAATCCTTTCAGACATCAGGCTTCAGGATGGCAGGCTGTTGGCTTCTGTGTGCCAGACTGGAAGGAACTGGCAGGCAAGGATCTCTTCCCTGCAGTGGTGTTAGCTATTGAGAATCCTGAGAGCAAAGATAATAGCTACACCTTGAAGGTGACTTACTTTTCCAGCCACCTTTTATCTTCCTTGCTTGTCTCAGGTTATTCATGCAATATCTGAACCTCTGCCTTGTTAGTAGGCTTATTTGCATAAGCATATTAGGTGTTGTTCTGGAGAAATAATGCATATGGACAAACAAAATGAAGAATATGCCATCCAAAATTAGTAACATAGGGATGGGCAATAATAAAAGCAAACTCAGGTCTGTCAAAGAACAAGCTCTTTTAACATGTCAGGTATAACTAGTCCAGCATAAGGATGTCAAGTGGCAGATTTAGGGCAATATAGAGAGTTTGCAGAGCCAAGGTAGATACTGCTTTGCTGACACTTTGATGTGATGGCCCATTCCTATAGCCACCGTGTGGGAAAGCTGGGGCCACAAATAACTAGAGTTTCAAGGGTGTGGATTTGAAATTATCTCTGCTACACACATCTAAGATATTTCTGGGGAGCAGCAAGGATTCAAAAAGAACTAACAAAACTTCATTTTGCGCTTTCTGGTTTAGGGTTGTTTTATGATAAGCTGCTTTTCCTGCCTTTCCCGTTAAAATTTGGGTTTTCTGCTTAAAGGTTGGCTCTACTTCCCTCAATCATTTAATGAACTTAGTAGTGGTGGAAAGCTGTGCCCTGGTGGAGGAATCCTGAGAATCCAGAGGAAGGTTGTGTGCCATTTTACAGGGAATAGAGCAGGTCAGCTTACATCATCAGAGGCCTTGGTAGCTTATATTCAAAGAGAAATGTGCTCTAAGCACCTATTTTTACCCTTTCTTCAACTACTCTTTCAACTTCCAAATAAATTTTAGGGAATAATTCTTTTACAGGAAGGTTTTCTTGAAGGATTTTAGGGGAAATGAGTTCTTCTGTGCAAATGCTGTTTCATATAATAAACTTTACAATACCAGTGAATAGATATGAGACAGTTAAAGAACAGGATAAATGTCCTCAGTTTTATGAACACACTTCATCTCTGCTTACTTTCTCTGAAGTATAACAAGCCAGGACAAATCCTGGAATCTGTCTCACTCAAGTCCTCTGTAGACAAAATACTAATTGACGTTAATGAGAGCATGACTCAAGGGTACGGTTATAATCTGAGAATTGTAGTACATGCCCTTTAAAACATTAAACAAGAGGAGTTTCAGACAGGGCAATAGGAACTTATCAACAGCTTCAACATCAAGTGCAACGAGGCTGGTGAAAGGGCACAAGCACAGGT